TGGGCTGCAGCAGGGCGTACTCCCCAAGATCAACTTCTCTGCTGCTATTTGCCTTCCCGTAAGGTGACGTAAGGAATGTACGGTTCGTGGCAACTTTTATACCTACAGAGCAATTTTCGATAAATCCATGTAACCGCCAGGACACTGTACCTCCTTCAGCCGTGGAAGGGTTGGATCTCTGAACTGCTTGTGCGCGCCTGTCTGAAAATATGCAAATGTACATTTGAGAGAGAAAATTACAAACCATGCAGTAGACGGTTACTGTAAATTTGGATGTTTACATCGCAATGCATTAAGAATTATAGGTGAAATTATTACCAACGAACAAATGAAGAAAAAATGTATCGTTGTGTTGATTTAACGATTTGGTTATTAAACGATTGCTCACGACTAAACGGCCTGTCGAAAAACTTATCCACATTCATATCATTCAACTGCTGGTTTAGGCATTCAGACATCTCGCCTGAAGACGGTAAAGTACATTCTTAAACCATCACGTTGTGTCATGGATATAGTATTGCAGCAAGAAAGATCAATCGAATAGGAATTAGTTTCGTGAGTGGTATCATATAAAGTGTTTACTCGAGGTGGAGTTTACTAATGACGGAAAGTCAGATGAAGAGGCCGACCGGTGAACTTAAATGGCCAGTGACGTTCTCAGTGAATTAGCCCGAACCGCTGTGCTTACAGCAAAGCTGAGTGTCAAAATGAAGTTGTCTCTGTTCAAGTCGATCGTCATCCCTATGCTCACGTTCGGCCATGACTAAAAAACTTCGATCCCGATACAATCGATAGAAATGGGCCTTTTCAGACAAGATCTCGGGTCTGGATATGATCCGGAGTTTCAGATATCTGAGAGAGCCTTAATGTACAGCGGCTACTTTCACAGATAGGGAATCTGCAAGCTGCGACGGTCTGAGCACATGCTGCGAATGGCTACAGAAAAGTGAAAAAGTTACCACGTGCCAAACCGACAAATCTAAAGTTCCGGGGACGGAGAAAGAATGATCTTGGGCAAGTGTCTTGACAAACTCCCTGCAAATATTTGGGATATTTTTTGCTGAAGCTTAAATGCTGACACAGGATGGAAGACGTCACAGAAACTAACTGGCGCGTCTGCCTCTGCGATCCGAAAGGATAAGCGATCGTCGAAAGTGACTGAATTCAAAAATTTAAAAGCACAATATACTGCATACAGATGAAGACAAGATGAACGAGAGATCAACCGCACATTCTTTTGAAGAAGGTTTGTCTACCTTATTTGAGGACTAATGAAGCAACGAGCAATGAAAGGCAGAATGGATCTTCTGTGTGGCAAAAGATTTACTTGGAATACTTCCTCGTTTTCGTTAACAATTTGCACCTTGCATGTTCTTTGAAGAGTAGAGATCCGCTATCGCCTATTGCTTCTTCTGAGTTCGAAGGATAAGTTGACGGCATTCTTTATGATCTTCTGCATCCACTCATAAGGGGTACTAGTCAATCAGACAAGTCATATATTTATGAACTGTATAATACTGGTCCACAGAAATACTGAATTACCGCTGGAAAAATTACCAGCCCAGCATACAGTACGTGGAGCATTTTGCATGCCCTCACGCAATTCTGAAATGCTTCCGCATCAACGGCCAATTTCGTAGAAACAGAAAGCGAGACACATTCTCAACTAATTCTTCATCATGGCTGTAATGTGTATCCCCATCTGAAAGACGTGAGGGTACAATTAAACTGAATATTTCGCTTGTAGATTCATGGTTTGAGCTTCATTAAAATAACCCAAGAGTGACGTTGTACTCATTCTCACCATCGCGTTTCGTCACTAGCAACCAGCCATATCTTCAATGTACAAATATGATAATGTCGCTGGCAATCAGTGATGGAACGCGTCGGTTAGAACAGGTAAACATGACTGATCGTGGGGCTATTTTAAATGAGCTGGAACCATGAATCGTCTAATGAGATGTTCATTGAGTTCTTGGCCCAGAATCATGTATAATTTCAAAAGTAATCCAATTGTTGCAGTGAATGACTACAGCTGCGTTGTCAGGCAGATGAAACAGTTAGCTGCTAGGTTAGGAGCAGCAGTTACGATTCTAACAGCGATCATTTCTGATGGCCCTTTTACGTACAGGAATGTGTAGAGGAATAAATATCTTGGGGTGAAACCGATTTCACACAACTTGTCAAAGCCAGCAGATCAGAGTAACGAACACGCCACATGGCCATAACCAACGTTAGCTTTTTAAGATGCAATTCCAATTTCGGTGTTAGTCCGATGAAACGAAGTCGTTGATCCCTCTGAACAACACGGTTTCTTGAAGTACTCTTCGTCGCGGAAATATTTGCTGGCTGCCTTGCAATACTTCATATCATATATTGCATCAGATCAGAAAAGTAAAATGAAAAGTCCTCTCAAATTTCCAAGCTGGGGCATCATTCATTGCACCGGTATGAGAAAGAATCAACAAAGGAATACGATATCCGCTTCGATAACGTTAAGCAGCAGTACCCGGTCACTAAGCGCAATATCCGCAGCAATGTGTTGTGGACCGAAATATATCAAAATGTATCTAGTAAACAGAGTAGTAGCTTCGTAAAAGAAATGTGTGAAAAAATTCTTTAGGGGAGGGGACCTTCCAACTAAAATCAACAGATACCAACCAAAGCCTCAGATATCGAGCAGGAGGAGGTAGTTCACAACGGCAACAACGGATTTAAAGTCTTCTTCTGTGATGCTGTGATTGGTGGTAACAAAAGACTGTTTGAAACTCTGATGACCTACCATTAATGTTATTTTCGGTCTGATATGATAATTTGAAAACAATAATTTATCAGTTCGATGGTTAAACGAATAAACAGAAAGAGAAACAGCCATTGCGACATTTGACAACTAAGACATTTGCATCATCAGGGTCATAATGAGCGGAGATTACAGACGGTATCATACACAATCGACTCAGCGTCAAACAATGAGTCATTTAAACCAAGTAACAGTGTGACAATATTAAAATGAAAAATTAACTAGAATAATGACACACTGCATTTTCTAGAAAACAAGGGAACGTGATATTACCCATTATTTTACTCCGGGCAGAGTTTTGTAATATGGTGTTTTTGCCTTCATTAATCATGATCACATGTAATATGGTGGAGACAGTCTGTGCGGTGAACCCAAACATTGAATTTGAAAGAATCATCCTAACTATTACATGAATTTCAGAAAAGAGTTTGGCAATGAAGGCAAATTAATCAAAGCACCATTAGAGCAAGAATATTAGTTCAATAGTACGCTACCTTCATCCTCAATATCCATATCAATGGTCTGACTTTCGGCTTTTTTAACTTCTTTCTTTGTTTCTGGTCAAATCAAGACAAATGACTGTAAGATGTAAGCAGAAACACGATGCGGCATACCGGCAATGACTGCCTCAACACCCAGCGGAAATGGGTCATCCAAAGGCGACGGAGAAGGGGCGTCTTGAGGTGGCGAAACAGTAAGAAATGGCTCAGACTTTTCGAGCGCTTCCACATCGCTTCTTACAGCATTAATACCACTACCAAATTTTCGGTAAGCCTAAACAGTCGAAAATTATAAATAAAAACGAATATCAATGAAACGAAGATTTTCGAACTACAGAACAACAGCACATCAACAGTTCATTATTAGGCAATGCAATACAACTGGCATATCGAGTGATAATACCATCGTGTCGGTCCATTTTACATGGACGTTCTTCAAGGTAAGACTGATGGCTGACCGTTGGTGCAAGGCGGTGATCTGTGGCAATCAATTTGTGTAGAGTCGAAAGCCTTGGTTCTA